ACTCTGGGCTGGCGGAGAAAAAAGGTTCGCTGCATATCTGGTCACACCCTGCTGGGCCGAACACCTTCGAAGCGGCTGCCTCAGAAGCGGCGTGCTCGGCGGGCATCTGCTTCTGCCGACACCTGCGCCTCAGTCCACCCACTTGGTCAGGTAATTGCTGGCCTTCAACGCGGCGGCAACCTGGTCGGAGGACATCTTCCCGTACTTGGAAACGTCCTTGGCGTTCTCCCACTCGAAGAACTTCACACCGTCCTTGGTGACCGGCTCGCGCCCGAAGTGGCAGTAAGCCGCGGTCTCCTGATACTTCGGCTCGCGCAGCGCGAGTGACATGGCGATGGCGCCGGGCCGGGAGTCGAACTCGATCTTCAGCACGTTGGTGATGTCCTCGGCGCTCAGGGCACCCTGCTCGGTGCCGTAGGTCTCCAGGAAGAGTGAGAGCGGCTTGGCCACGCCGATGGCGTAGGACAGCTGCACCAACGCGCGCTTGCAAAGGCCGCTCTTGACCACCGACTTGGCCATCTGCCGGCAAATGTACGCGGCGGAGCGGTCCACCTTCGTGGGGTCCTTCCCCGAGAACGCGCCGCCGCCGTGGGCGCCCCAGCCGCCGTAGGTGTCGATGATGATCTTGCGGCCGGTCAGGCCGGCGTCGCCCTGGGGGCCGCCGATGATGAACTTGCCGGACGGGTTGATGTACATGTGCGTGAAGTCGCCGAACAGGGAGATGGCGGGCTTTCCGTTCTTCAGCTTGATCTCGGAGAGCGTCTTCTTCACAACCTTCTCTGTGATCAGCTTGTTCATCTCCTCCATGCTCGGCGCGGTCATCTCCGGGCCGGTGTAGCCGGCGCACTCCTTCGTGCGCTTCGCCTTGGAGGGCTCCGCGTGCTGCGTGGAGATCACCACCGTGTGGAACTTCTGGGGCTCCACAGAGCCGTCGGCCTTCTGCAGGTACTCGATCGTGACCTGCGTCTTGCCGTCCGGGCGCAGCCACCAGAGCTCCCCGCTCTTGCGCACGTCCGTGAGGGTCTTGCCCAGCTTCGTGGCCACGGAGTGGGTCAGAGGCATGCAGTCTCGTTCTCGTCGGTGGCGTAGCCGAACATGATGCCCTGGTAGCGGCACCCCACGTACAGGTCCTCCTTCCCGACGTTGCACTCCGCGGCCATGTCGGGCTTCTGCTTGTTGCGTTGATGCGCACCAGGACCTCGCAGTCTTGTCGAATGAGGCCTTGATGGTCCACGCTGGAGAGGTCGTCCACGAACGAGTCGAAGCCGATCTTGGCCACCACCCCGCGCACCACCTTCTCGTAATCGATCTTGGTCTGGGTGGTGATCTCGCCCGCGACCATGACCATGTTGTCCTTCGTGGCCGTCTCGCACGCCACCTTGCTCTTGGGGTCCCCGACGAGGCACGCATCCAGGACTGCGTCGGACACCTGGTCGCAGATCTTGTCCGGGTGGCCCTCGTTGACGGACTCGGAGGAGAACAGGAAGACCCTCTCCGTCTTGGCCTTCTTCTGGGCCGGCTGCGCCATGGCTAGAGAGAACGTCGAAGGGGCAGCGGCCGGGCGGGCAGCGCGCAGCTCCGGAGCGAAACACAAAGGCTCGAGCCCAGGGTGGCCACGGACTCTCGCATCGCGCAGCGTTTACGCCACGCGGCTGCACTTCGACATGGGTCGTCTTTGGCTAGCTATCCATTGCTCTGCTCGGCTCTGCACTGCCTCCTCTAGCTGGGACGTGGCTACCACTGACTTGGTTTCAACTGTTGTTCACTGCATTGTTCTGCTTTTCTCCGCGTTGCTGTTCACGCCACGGGGATTTGTTTGGATTGCCGTCACGGTGCGCTGCTGAGACTGTTGAGGTGCACTGCCTTCGTGCCTGTAGCCTTGCACTGCCATGCCCTTGTTTTTATGTCATTTGCTTTCCGTTGCTACCCTCTCCTCCATTCCCATTGCCCTCGCTTGCAGTGCCGCCCGCTGCTGTGCGCGGTTCTTGTATGCATCGCTTCGCTGGCGTCACTTGCTGCGGCCGTGTCGTTTCGGCTAGCTTGCTTCGCTGCGTTGCATGGGTCCTGACTTGCAGCACCTTGCTTCCTGCTCCTCCTGTCGCTCAGAGGGTGCCGGAGGGTAGGAAGACTAGTCAGAGGACGATATTCAGCAGGAGGAAGGAGGGGAAGGAGGGGACATGGGTAGAAGGGGAGATGAATGAGGACCAGGGGGGGGAGCTACAGGAGCAGGAATCCTTCTCCGCAAATCTGAGTCTGTCCCCCAATGGGCTTGGTGTTGCTTGGCGTTGCCTTGACACTGCTGTCTGATGCGCCACCCTGAGCACTGACCGGACATCGCCACACCGTCTATCTCCGCTGAGTGCATCGCGTGGCTTTTTGTGCTCCCCGCTCAACGAGTGCATGGTATGCCTGCGGCCCAACGCGCAGGCCCCGCATGGCGGGGCCCACGGATCTGGGCACGGGCTGGGGCAACATCCAACCCCGGGAATATTGCACAGAAGCCGTTTCGCGACTCTGGGCTGGCGGAGAAACAAGGTTCGCTGCATATCTGGTCACACCCTGCTGGGCCGAACACCTTCGAAGCGGCTGCCTCAGAAGCGGCGTGCTCGGCGGACATCTGCTTCTGCCGACACCTGCGCCTCAGTCCACCCACTTGGTCAGGTAATTGCTGGCCTTCAACGCGGCGGCAACCTGGTCGGAGGACATCTTCCCGTACTTGGAAACGTCCTTGGCGTTCTCCCACTCGAAGAACTTCACGCCGTCCTTGGTGACCGGCTTCGCGCCCGAAGTGGCAGTAATCCGCGGTTCTTGATACTTCGGCGTGCGCATCGCGAGTGACATGGCGACGGCGCCCGGGCGGCAGTCGAATTCGAAACTCGATCGTTCAGCACGTTGTGATGTCCTCGGCGCTCAGGGCACCCTGCTCGTTGCCCCGTAGGCCCGTAGGGTCTTGTTTTGGTGGTCCTTTTTCTTTTCATTTTTTCTCTTTTTTTTTTTTTTTTCCCCTTCTCTCCTGGAAGAGTGAGAGCGGCTTGGCCACGCCGATGGCGTAGGACAGCTGCACCAACGCGCGCTTGCAAAGGCCGCTCTTGACCACCGACTTGGCCATCTGCCGGCAAATGTACGCGGCGGAGCGGTCCACCTTCGTGGGGTCCTTCCCCGAGAACGCGCCGCCGCCGTGGGCGCCCCAGCCGCCGTAGGTGTCGATGATGATCTTGCGGCCGGTCAGGCCGGCGTCGCCCTGGGGGCCGCCGATGATGAACTTGCCGGACGGGTTGATGTACATGTGCGTGAAGTCGCCGAACAGGGAGATGGCGGGCTTTCCGTTCTTCAGCTTGATCTCGGAGAGCGTCTTCTTCACAACCTTCTCTGTGATCAGCTTGTTCATCTCCTCCATGCTCGGCGCGGTCATCTCCGGGCCGGTGTAGCCGGCGCACTCCTTCGTGCGCTTCGCCTTGGAGGGCTCCGCGTGCTGCGTGGAGATCACCACCGTGTGGAACTTCTGGGGCTCCACGGAGCCGTCGGCCTTCTGCAGGTACTCGATCGTGACCTGGGTCTTGCCGTCCGGGCGCAGCCACCAGAGCTCCCCGCTCTTGCGCACGTCCGTGAGGGTCTTGCCCAGCTTCGTGGCCACGGAGTGGGTCAGAGGCAATGCAGTCCTCCGGTCTCGATCGGTGGCGTAGCCGGAAACATGATGCCTGGTCGCGGCCCCACGTCCAGGTTTCCTTCCTTCCCGACGTTGCACGCCGCCGGCAATGGTCCGGGCTCTGCTTGTTGATTGCGCACCAGGACTCGCAGGTCTTGTCGCTGAGGCCCTTGCTGTCCACGCTGGAGAGGTCGTCCACGAACGAGTCGAAGCCGATCTTGGCCACCACCCCGCGCACCACCTTCTCGTAATCGATCTTGGTCTGGGTGGTGATCTCGCCCGCGACCATGACCATGTTGTCCTTCGTGGCCGTCTCGCTCGCTGTCTTGCTCTTGGGGTTCCCCGACGAGGGCACGCATCAGAGACGCGTCGGACACCTGGTCGCAGATCTTTGTACGGGTGGCCTCGTTGACGGGACTCGGAGGAGAACAGGAAGACCCTCTCCGTCTTGGCCTTCTTCTGGGCCGGCTGCGCCATGGCTAGAGAGAACGTCGAAGGGGCAGCGGCCGGGCGGGCAGCGCGCAGCTCCGGAGCGAAACACAAAGGCTCGAGCCCAGGGTGGCCACGGACTCTCGCATCGCGCAGCGTTTTACGCCACGACGCTGCACTTCGAATGGGTCGTCTGGCTAGGCTACCATGCTCTGCTCGGCTCTGCACTGCCTCCTCTAGCTGGGACGTGGCTACCACTGCTTGTTTCACTGTTGTTCAACTGCATGTTCTGCTTTTCTCAGCGTTGCTGTTCACGACAGGGGATTTGTTTGGATTGCCTTCACGGTGCGCTGCTGGAGACTGTTGGAGGTGCACTGCCTTCGTGCCTGTAGCCTTGCACTGCCATGCCATTGTTTTAATGTCATGTGCTCGCTGTTTGCTAACCTCTGCCTCCTCCCCCATTGCCCTCGCTTGCAGTGCCGCCCGCTGCTGTGCGCGGTTCTTGTATGCATCGCTTCGCTGGCGTCACTTGCTGCGGCCGTGTCGTTTCGGCTAGCTTGCTTCGCTGCGTTGCATGGGTCCTGACTTGCAGCACCTTGCTTCCTGCTCCTCCTGTCGCTCAGAGGGTGCCGGAGGGTAGGAAGACTAGTCAGAGGACGATATTCAGCAGGAGGAAGGAGGGGAAGGAGGGGACATGGGTAGAAGGGGAGATGAATGAGGACCAGGGGGGGGAGCTACAGGAGCAGGAATCCTTCTCCGCAAATCTGAGTCTGTCCCCCAGTGGGCTTGGTGTTGCTTGGCGTTGCCTTGACACTGCTGTCTGATGCGCCACCCTGAGCACTGACCGGACATCGCCACACCGTCTATCGCCGCTGAGTGCATCGCGTGGCTTTTTGTGCTCCCCGCTCAACGAGTGCATGGTATGCCTGCGGCCCAACGCGCAGGCCCCGCATGGCGGGGCCCACGGATCTGGGCACGGGCTGGGGCAACATCCAACCCCGGGAATATTGCACAGAAGCCGTTTCGCGACTCTGGGCTGGCGGAGAAAAAAGGTTCGCTGCATATCTGGTCACACCCTGCTGGGCCGAACACCTTCGAAGCGGCTGCCTCAGAAGCGGCGTGCTCGGCGGACATCTGCTTCTGCCGACACCTGCGCCTCAGTCCACCCACTTGGTCAGGTAATTGCTGGCCTTCAACGCGGCGGCAACCTGGTCGGAGGACATCTTCCCGTACTTGGAAACGTCCTTGGCGTTCTCCCACTCGAAGAACTTCACGCCGTCCTTGGTGACCGGCTCGCGCCCGAAGTGAGTTGCCGCGGTCTCTGATTACCTTCGGCTCGCGCAGCGCGAGTGACATGCGATGGGCGCCGGGCCGGCAGTCGAACTCGATCTTCAGAACGTTGTGAGGTCCCGGCGCTCAGGGCACCTGCTCGTGCCGTAAGGGTCTCAGGAAGAGTGAGAGCGGCTTTGGCCACGCCGATGGCGTAGACAGCTGCACCCACGCGCCGCTTTGGCAAAGGCCGCTCTTGACCACCGGACTTGGCCACTGCCGGCAAATGTACGCGGCGAGCGAGTCACCCTTCGTGGGGTCCTTCACGCAAACGCGCCGCCGCCAGTGGGCCCCTTGCCTCCTGAGCTCATGAATGATCTTGCGGTTTCGACAACGAGCGAGGGTCGCTCCTGGGGGCCGCCGCTATGATGAACTTGCCGGACGGGTTGATGTACATGTGCGTGAAGTCGCCGAACAGGGAGATGGCGGGCTTTCCGTTCTTCAGCTTGATCTCGGAGAGCGTCTTCTTCACAACCTTCTCTGTGATCAGCTTGTTCATCTCCTCCATGCTCGGCGCGGTCATCTCCGGGCCGGTGTAGCCGGCGCACTCCTTCGTGCGCTTCGCCTTGGAGGGCTCCGCGTGCTGCGTGGAGATCACCACCGTGTGGAACTTCTGGGGCTCCACGGAGCCGTCGGCCTTCTGCAGGTACTCGATCGTGACCTGGGTCTTGCCGTCCGGGCGCAGCCACCAGAGCTCCCCGCTCTTGCGCACGTCCGTGAGGGTCTTGCCCAGCTTCGTGGCCACGGAGTGGGTCAGAGGCATGCAGTCCTCCGTCTCGTCGGTGGCGTAGCCGAACATGATGCCCTGGTCGCCGGCCCCCACGTCCAGGTCCTCCTTCCCGACGTGCACGCCGCCGGCAATGTCCGGGCTCTGCTTGTTGATGCGCACCAGGACCTCGCAGGTCTTGTCGCTGAGGCCCTTGCTGTCCACGCTGGAGAGGTCGTCCACGAACGAGTCGAAGCCGATCTTGGCCACCACCCCGCGCACCACCTTCTCGTAATCGATCTTGGTCTGGGTGGTGATCTCGCCCGCGACCATGACCATGTTGTCCTTCGTGGCCGTCTCGCACGCCACCTTGCTCTTGGGGTCCCCGACGAGGCACGCATCCAGGACTGCGTCGGACACCTGGTCGCAGATCTTGTCCGGGTGGCCCTCGTTGACGGACTCGGAGGAGAACAGGAAGACCCTCTCCGTCTTGGCCTTCTTCTGGGCCGGCTGCGCCATGGCTAGAGAGAACGTCGAAGGGGCAGCGGCCGGGCGGGCAGCGCGCAGCTCCGGAGCGAAACACAAAGGCTCGAGCCCAGGGTGGCCACGGACTCTCGCATCGCGCAGCGTTTACGCCACGCGGCTGCACTTCGACATGGGTCGTCTTTGGCTAGCTATCCATTGCTCTGCTCGGCTCTGCACTGCCTCCTCTAGCTGGGACGTGGTGGCTACCACTGACTTGGTTTCAACTGTTGTTCACTGCATTGTTCTGCTTTTCTCCGCGTTGCTGTTCACGCCACGCCACGGGGATTTGTTTGGATTGCCATCACGGTGCGCTGCTGAGACTGTTGAGGTGCACTCCCTTCGTGCCTGCCCTTGTTTTTTTTTATGTCACTTGCTTTCCGTTGCTACCCTCTCCTCCATTCCCATTGCCCTCGCTTGCAGTGCCGCATTGCATGGGTCCTGACTTGCAACACCTTGCTTCCTGCTCCTTCTGTCGCTCAGAGGGTGCCTGCCGGAGGGTAGGAAGACTAGTCAGAGGACGATATTTAGCAGGAGGAAGGAGGGGAAGGAGGGGACATGGGAGAATGAGGACCAGGGGGGGAGAGCTACAGGAGAAGGAATCCTTCTCCGCAAATCTGAGTCTGTCCCCCAATTGGCGTTGCCTTGACACTGCTGTCTGATGCGCCACCCTGAGCACTGACCGGGCATCGCCACACCGTCTATCGCCGCTGAGTGCATCGCGTGGCTTTTTGTGCTTCCCGCTCAACGAGTGCATGGTATGCCTGCGGCCCAACGCGCAGGCCCCGCATGGCGGGGCCCACGGATCTGGGCACGGGCTGGGGCAACATCCAACCCCGGGAATATTGCACAGAAGCCGTTTCGCGACTCTGGGCTGGCGGAGAAAAAAGGTTCGCTGCATATCTGGTCACACCCTGCTGGGCCGAACACCTTCGAAGCGGCTGCCTCAGAAGCGGCGTGCTCGGCGGACATCTGCTTCTGCCGACACCTGCGCCTCAGTCCACCCACTTGGTCAGGTAATTGCTGGCCTTCAACGCGGCGGCAACCTGGTCGGAGGACATCTTCCCGTACTTGGAAACGTCCTTGGCGTTCTCCCACTCGAAGAACTTCACGCCGTCCTTGGTGACCGGCTCGCGCCCGAAGTGGCAGTAAGCCGCGGTCTCCTGATACTTCGGCTCGCGCAGCGCGAGTGACATGGCGATGGCGCCCGGGCGGCAGTCGAACTCGATCTTCAGCACGTTGGTGATGTCCTCGGCGCTCAGGGCACCCTGCTCGGTGCCGTAGGTCTCCAGGAAGAGTGAGAGCGGCTTGGCCACGCCGATGGCGTAGGACAGCTGCACCAACGCGCGCTTGCAAAGGCCGCTCTTGACCACCGACTTGGCCATCTGCCGGCAAATGTACGCGGCGGAGCGGTCCACCTTCGTGGGGTCCTTCCCGGAGAACGCGCCGCCGCCGTGGGCGCCCCAGCCGCCGTAGGTGTCGATGATGATCTTGCGGCCGGTCAGGCCGGCGTCGCCCTGGGGACCGCCGATGATGAACTTGCCGACGGGTTGATGTACATGTGCGTGAAGTCGCCGAACAGGGAGATGGCGGGCTTTCCGTTCTTCAGCTTGATCTCGGAGAGCGTCTTCTTCACCACCTTCTCTGTGATCAGCTTGTTCATCTCCTCCATGCTCGGCGCGGTCATCTCAGGGCCGTGTAGCCGGCGCACTCCTTCGTGCGCTTCGCCTTGGAGGGCTCCGCGTGCTGCGTGGAGATGACCACGGTGTGGAACTTCTGGGGCTCCACGGAGCCGTCGGCCTTCTGCAGGTACTCGATCGTGACCTGCGTCTTGCCGTCCGGGCGCAGCCACCAGAGCTCCCCGCTCTTGCGCACGTCCGTGAGGGTCTTGCCCAGCTTCGTGGCCACGGAGTGGGTCAGAGGCATGCAGTCCTCCGTCTCGTCGGTGGCGTAGCCGAACATGATGCCCTGGTCGCCGGCCCCCACGTCCAGGTCCTCCTTCCCGACGTGCACGCCGCCGGCAATGTCCGGGCTCTGCTTGTTGATGCGCACCAGGACCTCGCAGGTCTTGTCGCTGAGGCCCTTGCTGTCCACGCTGGAGAGGTCGTCCACGAACGAGTCGAAGCCGATCTTGGCCACCACCCCGCGCACCACCTTCTCGTAATCGATCTTGGTCTGGGTGGTGATCTCGCCCGCGACCATGACCATGTTGTCCTTCGTGGCCGTCTCGCACGCCACCTTGCTCTTGGGGTCCCCGACGAGGCACGCATCCAGGACTGCGTCGGACACCTGGTCGCAGATCTTGTCCGGGTGGCCCTCGTTGACGGACTCGGAGGAGAACAGGAAGACCCTCTCCGTCTTGGCCTTCTTCTGGGCCGGCTGCGCCATGGCTAGAGAGAACGTCGAAGGGGCAGCGGCCGGGCGGGCAGCGCGCAGCTCCGGAGCGAAACACAAAGGCTCGAGCCCAGGGTGGCCACGGACTCTCGCATCGCGCAGCGTTTACGCCACGCGGCTGCACTTCGACATGGGTCGTCTTTGGCTAGCTATCCATTGCTCTGCTCGGCTCTGCACTGCCTCCTCTAGCTGGGACGTGGTGGCTACCACTGACTTGGTTTCAACTGTTGTTCACTGCATTGTTCTGCTTTTCTCCGCGTTGCTGTTCACGCCACGGGGATTTGTTTGGATTGCCATCACGGTGCGCTGCTGAGACTGTTGAGGTGCACTCCCTTCGTGCCTGCCCTTGTTTTTTTATGTCACTTGCTTTCCGTTGCTACCCTCTCCTCCATTCCCATTGCCCTCGCTTGCAGTGCCGCATTGCATTGGTCCTGACTTGCAACACCTTGCTTCCTGCTCCTTCTGTCGCTCAGAGGGTGCCTGCCGGAGGGTAGGAAGACTAGTCAGAGGACGAAATTTAGCAGGAGGAAGGAGGGGAAGGAGGGGACATGGGAGAATGAGGACCAGGGGGGGGGAGCTACAGGAGAAGGAATCCTTCTCCGCAAATCTGAGTCTGTCCCCCAGTTGGCGTTGCCTTGACACTGCTGTCTGATGCGCCACCCTGAGCACTGACCGGGCATCGCCACACCGTCTATCGCCGCTGAGTGCATCGCGTGGCTTTTTGTGCTTCCCGCTCAACGAGTGCATGGTATGCCTGCGGCCCAACGCGCAGGCCCCGCATGGCGGGGCCCACGGATCTGGGCACGGGCTGGGGCAACATCCAACCCCGGGAATATTGCACAGAAGCCGTTTCGCGACTCTGGGCTGGCGGAGAAAAAAGGTTCGCTGCATATCTGGTCACACCCTGCTGGGCCGAACACCTTCGAAGCGGCTGCCTCAGAAGCGGCGTGCTCGGCGGACATCTGCTTCTGCCGACACCTGCGCCTCAGTCCACCCACTTGGTCAGGTAATTGCTGGCCTTCAACGCGGCGGCAACCTGGTCGGAGGACATCTTCCCGTACTTGGAAACGTCCTTGGCGTTCTCCCACTCGAAGAACTTCACGCCGTCCTTGGTGACCGGCTCGCGCCCGAAGTGGCAGTAAGCCGCGGTCTCCTGATACTTCGGCTCGCGCAGCGCGAGTGACATGGCGATGGCGCCCGGGCGGCAGTCGAACTCGATCTTCAGCACGTTGGTGATGTCCTCGGCGCTCAGGGCACCCTGCTCGGTGCCGTAGGTCTCCAGGAAGAGTGAGAGCGGCTTGGCCACGCCGATGGCGTAGGACAGCTGCACCAACGCGCGCTTGCAAAGGCCGCTCTTGACCACCGACTTGGCCATCTGCCGGCAAATGTACGCGGCGGAGCGGTCCACCTTCGTGGGGTCCTTCCCCGAGAACGCGCCGCCGCCGTGGGCGCCCCAGCCGCCGTAGGTGTCGATGATGATCTTGCGGCCGGTCAGGCCGGCGTCGCCCTGGGGGCCGCCGATGATGAACTTGCCGGACGGGTTGATGTACATGTGCGTGAAGTCGCCGAACAGGGAGATGGCGGGCTTTCCGTTCTTCAGCTTGATCTCGGAGAGCGTCTTCTTCACAACCTTCTCTGTGATCAGCTTGTTCATCTCCTCCATGCTCGGCGCGGTCATCTCCGGGCCGGTGTAGCCGGCGCACTCCTTCGTGCGCTTCGCCTTGGAGGGCTCCGCGTGCTGCGTGGAGATCACCACCGTGTGGAACTTCTGGGGCTCCACGGAGCCGTCGGCCTTCTGCAGGTACTCGATCGTGACCTGGGTCTTGCCGTCCGGGCGCAGCCACCAGAGCTCCCCGCTCTTGCGCACGTCCGTGAGGGTCTTGCCCAGCTTCGTGGCCACGGAGTGGGTCAGAGGCATGCAGTCCTCCGTCTCGTCGGTGGCGTAGCCGAACATGATGCCCTGGTCGCCGGCCCCCACGTCCAGGTCCTCCTTCCCGACGTGCACGCCGCCGGCAATGTCCGGGCTCTGCTTGTTGATGCGCACCAGGACCTCGCAGGTCTTGTCGCTGAGGCCCTTGCTGTCCACGCTGGAGAGGTCGTCCACGAACGAGTCGAAGCCGATCTTGGCCACCACCCCGCGCACCACCTTCTCGTAATCGATCTTGGTCTGGGTGGTGATCTCGCCCGCGACCATGACCATGTTGTCCTTCGTGGCCGTCTCGCACGCCACCTTGCTCTTGGGGTCCCCGACGAGGCACGCATCCAGGACTGCGTCGGACACCTGGTCGCAGATCTTGTCCGGGTGGCCCTCGTTGACGGACTCGGAGGAGAACAGGAAGACCCTCTCCGTCTTGGCCTTCTTCTGGGCCGGCTGCGCCATGGCTAGAGAGAACGTCGAAGGGGCAGCGGCCGGGCGGGCAGCGCGCAGCTCCGGAGCGAAACACAAAGGCTCGAGCCCAGGGTGGCCACGGACTCTCGCATCGCGCAGCGTTGTCTTTGACTTGCTGTCGGTCGTTCTGATTGGCCTGTGCTGAGGCGCTGCTACATGTATCTGCTCTACATGGACTTGCTTTGCTTGGCTTTGCGTGGAGCGCCCAACAGCGCCCCGAAAAACGTCCTAAGAGGGCCTCAAGAGGCGAGACTTCGGCCTCAAGAGGGGCGAAACTGTCTGGGGACCCCTACTTTGCTCAAAGCCGTTGGCACACCTACCGTTCCCAACCATCCTTTGGTGTTGGGTGTTCGTTTGGAAGGGACCGAACCCCCCGCACTCCTCTCCTCTTCTCTCCTCCTCCCGCTCCTCCCTCCTCCAATCCTCCCCCTCCCGCTCTCCTCTTCTCCTCTTCCAATCCTCCAATCTCCGCTCCCTCCCTCCTCCAATCCTCCCCCTCCCTCCTCCAATCCTCCTCCCTCCTCCAATCCTCCAATCCTCCCTCTCTCCTCTTCTCTCCTCCTCCCGCTCCTCCCGCTCCTCCCTCCTCCAATCCTCGCCTCTGCTCTCCGCACGTCAACCGGTCTGGCGCACCCCTCGCGAGGCTCGCGGCCGCAGAAGACCAGGGGGCGTCGCCCGCTCGCGCCCGACCAGCCCACTTCCGCACACCCCTCGCGAGGCTCGCGGCATCACAGAGGCGCCGCCCGCAGGCGCCCGGCCCTCCCATTTCGGCACGCCCCTTACGCGCTCTGTGGCTCCATAGGGAGCTGTGCCGAGAGTCCCAGGGGCGCCGCCCGCATGGCCCACCCATGTCGGCACACCCCTCACACGCTCTGTGGCCCCACAGGGGCCTCCACCCAAGGTCCCAGGGGCGCCGCCCGCACGCGTCCGACCAGCCCATTTCGGCACACCCCTCACGAGGATCGTGGCCCCATGGGAACTCAACCGAAGGTCCTAGTGCTGCCGACCGCTTGCGTCCGACCAGCCCATTTCGGCACGCCCTTCAAGAGGATCGTGGCTCCATAGGGAAGTCCACTGAAGGTCCTAGGGGCGACGTCCGCATGCGTCCGACCATCAACCTGTAGCACAACCCCTCACACGCTTCGTGGCTCCATAGGGAACTCCACCGAAGGTCCCTGCGGCCGTCCTCGCACGCGCCTCCCTCGCCCATGTCGGCGCGCCCCTCACGCGGTTCGTGGCCCCATAAGGAGCTCCACAGAAAGTCACAACGGCCGCCATCACATTCGTCTCAACCGCAGTCCGCATGCGGTACCCGCCCCACGCTAGCACACCCCTCACGCGGCTCGCCCGTCTCACGCCGCTCGCGGCCCCATGTGGAGTTCCCCCTCGATCGTCCCGCCTGCCCTGCGGCACTCACATCTGCACGTGGTTGGATCCCTCGCCAAGGTATTGTGTATGACCTGGGCATCCAGTTGGCTCAAGATGGCCTCGAGATTGGCGCAAACTGATCTGGGATGGCTCAAGATATTCTCCAAGATGCTTCCAAGAGGTTCCGAGACCGCCCCAAGACGGCTCCAAGCGGCCACGGAGCCTCCCGCGTCCGCAGTGAAAACAATTGATGGTGGAATCCTCGCCTTTTCGCATCCACTGTGCTTCCGAGGCTTCAAGATGGCCCCAGTGGGCCTGAAGACTGCCCAACGAGCGTTCCAAGAGCATCCCACCCCCATAGGGCACCACGAGGCGAAGTTTCGGACTTACGAAGGCCCAGGCTACTTTCACACTCCCCATTCTTTGATCGGGGTCCTCCGAGATGGCCTCAATATGCCCCCACGGCTGTCAAAAGGACTCCAAGAGAGCCTCAAGAAAGCACGCGAGTTGCGTGTGTGTGTGTGTGTGTGTCTGTGGAACCCAGCTGGACTCCCACGACGCTGAATGGTGTGAGCTTTCGGCCAAGCCTCGAGCTGGAGCTCTCATGGGCGAGATTGCACTGTTTTGCAAAGACCCTCCATGAAAGCGACCATCAAGCCAGCTGGTCTGGGGAGCTCCTGTCCCGCCGACGGCACGCCTGGGCGGAAGACAGCTGAGGAGGCGTTTCTGGAAGGGCCACCATCCGAAGTGTAGCGAGAGTGCGACGATACACGCGAGTTGGCCGTTATCCTGTAAAGCCATCAAGCTATAATGCCAAACCTTTGCGTAGGCCTGCGCGTGGCGTCGTTTCTCCGCTTTGAGCCGACGGGTCCAACTCGCAGGGGGAGGACACCCCCCCTCCTTCCCCCCCCCTCTTCCCCCCGGGTCCTCGCTTTCCCTCCCACCTCCCTCCCCCCTCGTTCCCCTCCTCCTCCTCCTCCTCCTCCTCCTCCTCCTCCTCCTCCCTTCCCCCTCGTCTTCGTCCTCGTCGTCGTCGTCGTGTTATTCCTCCTCCTCCTCCTCCTCCTCCTCCTCCTCCTCCTCCTCCTCCGCCCTCCTCCCTCCTCCCTCCTCCCTCCTCCCTCCTCCCTCCTCCTCCTCCTCCTCCGCCTCCCCTCTCCACCTCCTCCTCCTCCTCGTCCCCTCCACCTCCTCCTCGTCCTCCTCCTCCTCCTCGTCCTCCTCCACCTCCTCTTCCTCCTCGTCGTCCTCCTCCTCCTCCTCCTCGTCCTCCTCCTCCTCCTCCTCCTCCTCCTCCCACTCCCCGTGACGACGCCAATCGCTGCTGGGCAAGGGGAGAAGGCCAGGGGACGCACGGGGCGCCACTAAGGGTTACCTGAACTCGAAGAGCACCCCCGAGTAGCCCCCCTATCCAGAGGACGGCCGGACGACAGTAGCCTAGGATCCTTTGGCGACGCGCAGAGGGGTGCATGGGGGAGGGGGGAAGGCTTTCTATTTGTTCTGCCCCGCACAGAACGCCCGCCGCCCCAACGAAGCGATGGATTGCCCCCAGCAGCGTCGGGACTTCTTAGACGGGGGCTGCTCCTTAGACATTGGCATCCCATCCTGGCAATGAGGACCTTGCTCGGCACAAAGACTTCTGACATGCACCAGTGGCCATGAAACGGCCACATTGCATCGGCGGGCGCGGCATTTTCGCCACTGGCGGCGTTCCATGGGCATCCCATCCTCGCAGTAAGGGCAGTGCTCGGCACAGGGAATTGTGTATCACATTGGTGGCTGTGAAATGGCCACATGGCCGCTGCGGGCGCAGCTCTTCGCCATTCCAGCGGCGTTATGTAGGCATCATGTCGGTGGCAATTCATGGGAGCCTCCTATACCATCTTGTCGGCTCTTGCGAATCGACGCTCGTCGACGCTGAATCGACGCTCATCGATGCTACATCGACGCTGATCGACGCTGGCCGGCGCTGAATCGGCGCTGTCTCATCAACTCCCAGACGCTCATCGGCACGACAAACAGAACTAGGACGATACTGCCAGGCGTCCATGAGTTGCCACAGAAGGCCTCATTCGGAAACTGGGCGAGGGCTGGCAAATCCGTGGCTGCTAAAGCGGTCTTCCCGGAAGAAAAAAACAAACTCCCGGAATCAGACTCGTCGCGCGAATTCATAAACGGGCTGCTTCCCGGGAGGAAACAGAAACAGATTCCGTCTTAGCGGCCACGGGTTTGCCAGCCTCCGCCCGGCTTCCGACTCCTGTTGGCCTGGATGCCCACGCCTGTCGCTGCACTGGCATGGGGAGGCGGTCCGCTCCCCGTGCCTGCAGCCGGGCTGCCCGTCCCTGCCCATGGGCGGGCGCACAAGCACCCCGCCCTCGCGTTGAGGGCCTTCGCTTGGCACGAGCAGCTCTGGCGCTCCGCGCGCCAGGGAGGGGGGTCCAGCGGACGCTCCGAGTGTCTGTGTTTGGCCACCTACCAAACCACCCCAACCCAACCCGAAGACCCGAATTTGACCCGAATTTCGGGTTGGCGGGGGTAACGGGTTCCACGTGTTTTTTCGATGTTCCCCGACCCCCCCCCACTGGAAATGGAGGGCAAATCGTGGCCTTCGGGTTGGGTTGGGGTGGTTTGGTGGGCGGTGACACGTGTTCAGGCCACTCTCCGTTCCCCTACGGCTCGTGCTCGCGCGTGGCACGAACCAGCGCTCGGGGGCTGCCGCGCCCGCGGCGGCACCGCGTGGCCGCCTCGCGGCCGCCCAGGCCGGCCGCAGTTCTCTCGGTGCCCGGCGCAGCTTCCCTGCGAGGGCGGGATGCCCACATCTGCCCATGAGCAGGGGCGGGTGTTGGCTGCCGCTGGAGGCGTTCGGTGCACCATGCTGGCCTGGATGCCCCTCCCTGTCGCTGGGCTGGCGTGGGAGTCCGCCCCTCGTGCCTGCCGCTAGGCTGCTCATCCCTGCTTACCAGCCTCGAACTTACCCCTATCCCTAAAATTGACACGCCAAAAGGCGATGACAATCTTAGGGATGCGCCCTCAAAACATAAGGGGATCCCTAAGATTCGCAGCGTGATGAGAAGATGCCCAGCTTAGGGATAGGGATATGTTCCAGGCTGGTAAACTGCTGGCAGACGGGCAAGGGCATCACGCCATCGCAGGGAGGATGCGCGGGCACGGAGAGCATTGCTCCGCCTTGGCTTGGCGGCGCGCAAAGGGGGGCATGGGGGAGGGGGGAAGGCTTCTCAGAGGGAGGCTGCTTCTTAGAGGGCGCGGCCTTGCATCTACCGCCGAGGCCCGCGCCTCCCAAAAGCAGAAGTGCTTCTGGGAAGCCTTCCCTCCTCTCCCTACCCCCTTCTGCGCGTGGCCGGTGGATGTGAGATTATGTCACATTGAGGTTACGGGTGCGGCGGCCTCCAATAGCTACTTCATGCCACGCACGAGCAAGACTCTGGCGGAACCGCCGAGGAGGCTCGTGGAAACCACCTGCGGAGATCGCCCCTCGTGGCCCCCGCCCTGCACTGCCCGTTCTTGGTTGCTCATGCTTCGCACTGGTGGTGCGGCGTTCGCCCGGTGGGCATCGCTTGCTCGTCGACTGACACCAGGGTTCGTGGTGGCTGAGCTTGTCAGTATGATTAGGCGCCCGAATGAGCTGGGGTAACTCGGGTCTGCGGTAACTCGGGCTTGGATCCCGAAACACGAACCTGAGTTAGCCCTGACCCGAATTACCCCGGTCGAGCTCACTCCCCCAGAAGCCCGAGGCGCACAGGATATGGACGAACATCTGGTAGAGTCGAGTAGGAGATCGCCTACATGATCGATTTACCTCAAAAATTGGCATGTTCTTCGGATATGTGAGAAATGCGTAAAGAGTTCGTCGAGACACAAACGTTCGACGTTTTTTTGTAGATTCGGAGGGCATTGAAGGTTTGGGGTGCATCGGTTAAGTAGTCGATCTCCCACTCGATAGAGGCTCGATTTCGATCCAAATTAAGGAATCGAGCTCTATACACCGACACATTCTTCAGGCCGCGCACGTAAACCCGCATAGGAAAACGGATCCTGGTGTACGAGGGATCCTGGTGATACGGGATCCTGGTGCATACATGTTTCGCTGATGCCTCGGGCGATCGGAAGCGAGAAGTATACACCACACCACCCCGACGTCGTCCCAGACCCTCAGAAAGTCCTGGGATTGAAGAGCAACCCGTCCTCCTCCTCCTCCTCCTCCTCCTCGATCTCCTCCATCTCCTCCTTCTCCTCGTCCTCGTCCTCGTCCTCGTCCTCGTCCTCGTCCTCCTCCTCCTCACTGGTAGTGAATCTGTTCCAGCCTCCGACATCTCCGGTGCGCCTTGGCCCTGCGGCGCCCCTCCCGAGAGAAGGCCCGACACGCCGCGGGCGCGGCCACGCAGAGTCTGGCTGACGAACCAGGGGCCCTGGCCGCCGAGGCAGCGCTCCCACAGGGGGGACGCCGCCCGCCCAGAGGGCACCCTGCTGGGCTGGAAGGGGAAAAATGGCGAGGAGGAGGAGGAGGAGGATGAGGACGAGGACGAGGACGATGAAGATGAGGAGGAGCAGGAGGAGGAGGAGGAGGAGGAGGAGGAAGGACGGGCCGCAGCGGTAAGGGCGCAAGGGTACAGAGAAGCCTGAAGCAGTGGATGCTGGAAGTTCAAGGAAAGTGGAAGTGGCCGGGGCCGAAACAACTGGCAGGGGCTGGAACAAAGCCGAGACAGCTGGGACTCTGTCGCCAGGGCTGGACACACGCGAGGAAACCGGCCAGTGCTGGAGAGAGTGAAAGGGCTGGCCCTGGCCAATTTTTCCAGCTTCCCTGTGCCCTGAGGCAAGTCGTGAGTCCTTGTTGTGGGCTTTGACTCGAAACGTTGCCCCCCCTCTTCCTCGTCTTGCCCCTCTCGTCCCCCCCTCGCCACCCTCGTCGCCCCCGCCGCTTCTCCTCGCCCTTCTCCCCAATTGGGGAGCGAGGCTTATGTTGCTCCAGTCGTATTTAAGGACCACATCCCAGAAATAATTTCGGTCACCCAGGGAAGTATCGAAACGGTGTCGAACGAGTGTCGCTTCCCAGGGCCCGACAAGTGAAGACCCTTCAGTTTCGGTATCCTCTTGGTGCTCGAAATTCTTTCTGGTGATCAAAGCAGAAAAAGGTTGGAACATCATAAAGCGAGGCGCGCGAGGACCCCCTCCCCCCGCGCGCCCCCTCCAGCGGGAAGCCGTGGGAGTCGTACAGCAGGAACGCCTGCTGCCCATCCACCACCTGCCGCGGCCGCGCCGGGCACCTCACCCCCTGGCTACTCTTAGGTCGGGCATGTCCTCCTACAGGGAAATTTTGAGTGACAAATCAAACATGCTCAAACCATGCTCAAACATAGCCCAAAAATATTCAAAACATCGTCCCCATACTATTCTTGACTATTTTTGGACATTCCCCCTGTAGAGGGACAGGCCCGACTTTAGGATACTCCGAGTTTCATACTCCGAGTTTCTTACTAAGCGTTGGGGGGGCGCCACCCCCGCCGACAGCCCCACATCGATCCCCGTCGCGGGCAGGCGCTTCGCGTCGAAGGCGCTCCGACCCCGTCGCGGCCCGAAGACGGGGCGAGGTTGACCCCTGTCGGGGGGGTACCCCTCCACGCTTGTGAAGAAACCTAGGGCAGGGGGCGGGCAACACTCGTGTCTTCCATCGCTGCAGCTTGGAGTTTAGGGCTCCCCTCCCCGACGCCCGAGGCGCACTCTCGGCTGCATTGGCAACACATCTGCCCTCTGGGAGGCCCGGTCTCTACCCAATATCTGGTGCGCCTCGGCCCCGTGGCGCTCTTTTTCCAAGAACGTCCAAGACGCCATGGACATGGATCGAAACATTGCCAGCGTAGGGGGGACGATGCTCGCTCCAGGCTCGGGCGTTTCGTCCGACGGCCACGTCTCGGCGGGCTTTTTCAGCCTCGGGATGCCCTCCGGCAGCTGCGCCCCGCCGGGAGCATTCTCCCGGAACGGCGGCCCGAGGCCCGAGTCGCGACCCGAACACCAACAGGGGGCCAGTTCGAATCGACGGTACATTGCCGATAGATCGGCGGCAGGCAAGTCCCCGAGCGTGAAGCCGCACGCTCCGATGCTTTGTGAGCTATCAGACCCCCCACATCGGCGATGAATGGGCGATCGGGGGCCGATGCCTTCCCCTTAGAGCCCGTCCCCCCTTTGTCGTTACCCAGGATCCAGCTCCTCGACCTCGCGAGTGGGCCCGCCCCGAACAGAGGCAGGATGGATGCTGTTTCTCTGCGCCCGTCCACCCACACGGGATGCTCTGCCGAAGCTCTGCTGGAGGTTGACGCAACACAACGATGAGTTCTCGCTTGCTCCCTTCCGTTCTCCCTCCCCCTCTCCGCTCCCTCGTCCCTCCTCTGTGGCGCGGCTGCTGCTCGTTATGCTGACCCCAGCAGGTGCCGTCCGCTCGGGTTCATTCTGGCGAGGAAGTGCTCGACCGCTGGGACTCATGCTCTATGTTGTTTGGGCAATCTCTAAGCCGACGTTGTTGCCCGACTCGGCTTACAGGGACATTAGATAGCGCAGCTTGTTGTTGTTGATGCCGAGGCCAGCCATGTCAAAGCTGACAAACCTAGTTAGGATGTTCTCTCGCGAGCTGTGCATACATCTAGTGCAGAGGCTGGTAGCACTGAAGGCCCGCCAATGACCCAGCCGTTTCCTGACCCCGCCCGAGGCTTTCAGTTTCTGAGCACGTTCTGCATGTTTCCCTAAGTTGAACGGTTGGCGTTGCCCGTAATTGTAACATCACAGCCAGCTCGCAGTCCACGCTCAAAGGGATTCGAAATCGAGCGAGCGCTTAGCAGTGTCTGCTTTGAGTGGCGTGCCGAACAGTTGTTTGCTTTGCACACAGCTTCGCGCCATGGAACGTCTGGAACCGCCCCTGTTGCCATGGGGATTGCCAAACAAATCCTGTGACCTCCCGCTCTCCCTCCCGTTTCTGGTGGGAACTTAGGGCCGCCTCCGACCTCCTCTTTCCCCTCCGCGGGCGCTCTTGTGTCTAAGCACATGAGTGAGAGCTTGTCGACCTTCCCGGATTTGCCTGAGGCATCGACCCGAGGCTCATGGCAGGACCGAAATCGGCCGAGAGTTTGTTTTTTTATACCTGGCCTGACGAGCACTGCCGCAGGTTGAAGGCGGCAGGCACGGTTGTCGCTCGGAGCCAAGCTGCTCGTGCGGGGCGCCTGCGTGTGCTGGCCAACGCGACGAGAGGTGAGCACCCCAAGACAGGAGAGCAGGCCCCCCACAACTCTCACAGCTCTCAATGGGGACGGCTAGCCCCCCTTGCGTGGCGGCTCCCTGTCTTGGCCGACTTCCTTGCCCGTCCGTGTGGTCAGGACGTGGCAGCACTGCACCTCTAGGAGGTGCCCGCGTCTGCTGCTGGCCTGTGGGCTGCTCGTTTGTGCAAGGCGTGGGTGGCGCTGTACCTTGTGAACGTTTTCTATGGCGGCGTTTCAACGTTGGGCGAAATGGGGGAGGGGGGGATCTAGCTCTGGAACTCTGCTTCGTGCGACTGTGCGCAGCAGTGCGTCCTGTGAGGGAGATTCCACATGTTCGCAGCAGGCGCCCCAAACAGCCAAGATCTACTCCATGGGAAGGGGGGGAGAGGGGGGGGGGTGCGAGGGGCCGCGCCGATCGGCAAAACAATGAGTAAGAACACGACGACCCTCCGAAGACTCCCACGCCCTGCTTGCTGCACGCCCGTCGGCCAGCCTCCGTGCAATGCGCGCGCCGAGGCTCCGTCCTGGCTCGGGCGGCGCTCGTTGCTGTGCACCGGTGCGATCCAGCTCCGTGGTGCAGGTTGTTTCCCTCCAGGGCTGGACCTAAACGTCGTTTGTCGTTTTGTTTTCGTTTTGTGGTTCGGTTTGCCCTACCTGTCTTTCTGCACCTCCCTGCCAAAACGAGCAGCAAAACCCAGCCGAAGTCCAGCAACACAGCGTTTAGGTCCAGTCCCGCCTCCCAGATGGGGTCCGAGTAGACGGGGTCGGAGGATCGCGCCGCCTCGCCGATGCATCGCCGATGCATCGGCGACGTCTGCGATGCATCGGCGACGCGGGCGTGGAGAAAATCGGGTTACACATCAAGCCGCATCGCCGATGCATCGCCGATGCGGCGCGATCCTCCGACCCCATCTGATCGGACCCCATCCAGGAGGCGTAGAACCTCCGCGCGTAGGGCGTGGCGGCATTGTGCCCGCGGGAGGTGCCCGCGCCGACTGCTGGCCAGCTGGCCAGCCTCCGTGCACAGAGCGCGTGGCGGCACTACAGTCGGGGCGCTGACCTAAGGAACCCTAAATAAGGAACGAGGCCCCTTTTCTCCACAAATGAACCTTCATTTCCTGTCGGAAACATGAGGAAAGCCTGAGGCAAGCTGCGAAACACTTAAGGAACGCGGAGCCCCTCCCCAACGAAAAGCGTTCCTTCTGCAGGGCCCCGGCTGTATGCCCACAGGTGCCCGCGCTCCTCACTGGTCCACCGCGGCGGCCCAGTCAAGTGTCTCGGCGGGTGCCCCGGGGTATTTGAGAAGGGGCTGGCCTGCTCAGTAGTCGAGTAGGGGGGATCGACGAAAGAATCGATTTGCCCCGAAATTGATTTCCTCGTCGAACCTACCAGAAACCCAACATTTCAACTGTACTCGACGAAGAGAAACCAAATTCGGGGTACATCAATTCTGTAGTCGATCCCTACTCGACGAAGGCGGCGGGGCTTCTGAGAAAAAAAAACGGCCTTCTGAGCTGAGAGAGTTGGATGGGCCTAGAGAACTTCCGAGTCGGCCAGGGGCCTTCCGAGCCCCTTGAGGAGACCATTCCCTCTCACTTCCCCCGGGGCGCGCCACTGATATACAGTGCGGGCGCGGCCAGAAGAAACCCTCGCAAGAAACCAAACCCCGAGAACCCGTGCTCGAGATGTACCCGAGGGGAAACCCGAAGCACCCCGAACGCAGCAGCTCCTTCCGCGGCCGCGGGAAGTCGCCGCGCAGCGCGAGGAGCAAAGAAGCCCGGGATACCCTCACGACAAGGATATGGTTTCTGGATGCGCGCCCCCACTGTAGACTGACAACCGACGGCCGATGCGGGCGCGCAGTCGCCGCTTGGCGAACCAGTCGGGCGACGACTAGCGGAGGGTTGAGGTTCAGGAGGGAAAGAAACACACAGACACAATTAATCGTCGATGTCCCAGAAAATATAAGAAAAGTATGCGAAATGGGGGGGAAGACAAAACTCAGAAAGTACAGGAAAATATTGGGAATCCTGTTATTAGTGTGTATTTATTTGTGTGTCCCAGGGCCCCTTCAGAGGTCGCTTCTTGCCCTCTCTGCTGTCTCCCGGTCTTCAGAGCTGCGCCCTCCTGCCTTGCCAGGACGCGCGTGCCGCCTCGCCCGCTCGCCCCACTCTCCCTTCCCGCCTCGACGTCCTGCCGGGCACCGGACACCTTCCGAGAGCCGTGCGCAGGCATCAGACAACCATCGAGACACGAGTACGGTGAGGACAGCAGAGGGCGAAGGAAATGCACCTCCTCCTCCGTCTCCCTCCGCCTCCCTGCATCCCTCCTCCTCCTCCTCCTGCTCCCCCGCCAACTCAAATTCGCCCCAGGACTTGGCCTAGGACTCCAGCCGTGACGACAAGGACACCGCAGGATGCGCGGCAACAGCATAGAACCATGTCCTGATCCTCCTCCCTCCAGCTGCCTCCTCCCCTCCTCTCCACCTCCCTCCTCACTGCCTCCCCTCCCCCTCCTCCCTCGTCCTGCATGCTTGGATCCTCCTCCCTCCAGCTGCCTCTTCCACTCCTCTCCGCCTCCCTCCTCCCTGCCTCCCTCCCCCCTCCCTCGTCCTCTTCGGAGCCTCCTCCCTCCGGCTGCCTCTCCCACTCCTCTCCCCCTCCCTCCTCGCTGCCTCCCTCACCCCCCTCCCCTCGCCCTCTGCGCGCGCGCAGGGAACACCTTGCTGCCGCTGCTCTCCATGCCGGCACGGATCTCCCCGAAGAACTGCATGCCGCGCTCGATCGTCTGGTCGAACGCCTCTGCCGAGCACAGTCCAGTAGAAGGGCTGGCCAGGCTGTGGAGGAAGCGCGCGCCCGAAGATTTTCAGAGGCCTTCGAAGTCATCCTGAATAGTACTTATGCATGTGTGGCGCACGTGCTACAAGGTTCTGTAGCTTCATGGAGGAGGGAGGGAGGGAGGGCGGGAGGAGGGAGAGGGATGAGGAAGAATGTGAGGAAACGGACCAGGCTAAACCCAGCATGCACCAACGATGCTGCAATACGCCCACCCGCCCCGAACCTCTATAATCTCCTACAAGATATTCTTATCACTTCGGAAAATGTGACCTTGAAAAACAATGTTTTGGTCTGCGGGTCGAGAGCGAGCCTCTTCCGGTTAAGAGCTAGGCGGGCCGCGCAAAGACCTTAAAAAACAAGCACCGAGCACTTTCGACGAGGGCCCAGTTTTGAGCAGCAGTTGCAGGCAATGTGCCTAGCTGTAGGGACGGTGACTAGGCAAGGTCGTACGTGTCAACAGAATATCCAGCGGAAGCCCCGCTTTGACAACGAACCGCCCTCAATCTGTGCATGCATTCACCGTTCCAAGCGTCTGGCCATGAAACCGAGGTCTCAAGAGACCGCCCCTGGTTGAAAAGGAACAGCTGTCCATCAGTGTAGCTTGTTTGTTGGCAGATGCAGATTTTTGTTCTCAATCTTCGAGGACGTCCCAACCGAACAATCCACGTCGAGCAAGGACCGCCCCCTGGCCGCGCGACGGCTAAAACAGTGTGAAAACCACACGCCCACGGCGATAAGGCGAGCACCACAGTTCGAAAAGGACCTGCCCAACGAACGCGTGTATAACTTTAAGTCGAGGGTGTCCCCCTGCAGGGGGATTTTGGGCGAAAACAAAACTCAAAGAATGCCCCCGAATGATCAAACATAGTCAAAAAAACATAGTCCCCAGACTACTCTTTGACTATTTTTTGAATCTCCCCCCTGTAGGAAGACAGGCCCGACTTCAGTGTAACTGGTGGAAGGCTTGTAAACTGGCGTGCGCGGTGCTCTCGCGAGAACCACACTTCGAACGCCAGACGCCCACTCCACCAGTGGAAGCGGTGGAATACCTATCGGTCAGAAGAAATAGGTGGAACCATGAAGTAGGAAGGCGTTGAAGGTAGTTTGGCTGTCCGCCCGTCCCCTAAAGAGGACGGAAAAGGTGAAGCCACTCGATCATTGAAGTAGGAAGGCGCTTCTAGTAGACTGAATTCTGGGAATCCAAACGCACCGAATTCCAACGACCGATGGGCATGGTAAGGACCGACAAGTGCGCGTCGCCGAAGCAAGAAACACACTTTGAGCACGAACCCCCCCCCCTCCATCCGCAAAATACGCTCGGACGCGTGCGCGGCGCGCAAGAGCGAACATCGCGACTCTTGCTCGGGCGTTGGCGAAGCTGGGTTTGGTGGGGCCTGGCTTCGTGATGTGTACTGGGGGGCGCCCCCCCCGCCCAGGGCACAGTCGGGGCGTGGACCCGGGGAGCGACGAACAAAGAACGGGGCCCCTCCTCAGGGGGCTCGCCGCCCAAAAAAAAGCGGAACAATCCTTCGAGAACTCGGCGGTGGACAAACCTCCCTTCAATGAGCCTCCCCTCAGCGAAAGCGGCCTGAGACCGAAACCGATGGACCTGGACCCGCAAAACTGACGGCCGCGACGCCCTTTCTCGCGAACCGACGCCGACCAATTCCTCAATCGACGCGTCAGGGTAGGAGGTCTACCGACCTCCGAACAACTCGGGAGCGGCCAAGAGGGGGGTGTCCAAGAGGGGGGGGTGCAAATCATGACAGGCGGCACGTGCGCGGCCCAGCGGGGGGGCCAGGGACGTAATGAAATAAGAAGAGGCGCCGTGAAATCAGGGGAGATATCAATCCACCCCCCCTAGTCATCACCCAGCGCATGCAGGCAAAAGCCCCCCGGGAGCGCCGCAGGGTGCTCAAAGGGCGCCTGCTCGCCATCGCTCGGACGTCCATTCACTGTGTTTTTTTAGGTTTCGTGCGTGGCTTTTTCGTCAAATGATCAAGGATGCTCCTCGATGGTCCCCGCCAAAGGAAACATGACCACGTCCGAGCGATGCCAAGGCTCAAAGGGCGCCTGGGCGGCGGGGGCCCCGCCCGCCCGCCGCGCCGCGGCGGCTCGCCCGCGCGGCTCGGCCCCCGCCCGAGCGGCGCAGCGCCGCCGCCCGCCGGCGGGGTGGCAGGGCCGGGCGGCCCCGCGCCGAAGGCCACCGGCCCCCGCGGCCGTCCCCGCCGCGGCGCCCGCGGCCCCGACGGGCCTCGTGTGAGCCCTGAGCCCTGAGCCCTGAGCCCTGAACTTCAGTCGGGCCTGTCCCCCATACAATAGACAGGCGGACTTCGGCCGACAACTCGAAAATTGTCAGAAAAAAGACCCCCAAAAGGGTCAGAGATGGTGAGAAAAACAAGTCCCCAGACTAGTTGTTTGTTTTGTTTTGGTTTCCGTCCTTTTTTGTTTAGAAAATTTTAGCGGGGCCACGTGGGCCTGATTCAGCGCCCCGACTGCACAGCGCCCAAGAATTATGTTGCTCCAGGCGTACTTAAGGACCACAGCTCAGAAATAATCTCGAGCACCCAGGAAAGTATCGAAACGGTGTCGGGCGAGTGTCGCTTCCCAGGGCCCGACGAGTGAAGACCCTCCAGTTTCGGCATCTTCTTGGTGCTCGAAATTCTTTCTGGTGGTCACTGGCCATCGCTCGGACGTCCATTTCCTGTGTTTTTTTCGGTCTCAAGCGTGGTTTCTTCGCGAAATGATCCAGGATGTTCCTCAAGGGTCCTCGCCGAGAAAAAAATGCACACGTCCGAGCGATGCCAGGGTCGAGGCTAAACTGGGTTAGAACATCAGAACCCAAGAAGGAGTGTTGTCCCAAACCGGCGGCGGCCGCTCGTGGGCAGGCGGCGTGCTGTCTCGAGTGGGCGCCGTCTGCGGCGACGCCCAGCACCGAGCTCTTGCTCAGAGTGGGCAGGGGCCGCTGCCGGTCTTCGTACCCATTGTCTCCGCACCGATTCCGACCGCCTGAGGTCGGGCCTGTCCTCCTACGGGCGGATTTGGGGGGCAAAAACTGCAGAATAGTCCAAAAAGTCAAGAGTCAAAAGTAATAGAAAAAGCGTCCCCGGACTATTTGTAGACTGTGTTTGAAGATTCCTCCTAGAAGGGACGTGCCCGACTGAACGATCGCCCCGAATGACGAAGACGGGGGCGAAGCGGGGCGGCGAGGACGGGCGGCTGGGGCCTCCTCCTCCGCGCGGAGGATCTCCTGCACCCTGTCCGCGGCCTCACCGTCCGCGCGGTGGGCGCGATCCCGCGGGGCCTCTCCCTCCCTCCCCTCCTCCCTCCCTCCTCCTTCCTTCATCTCCTTCCTTCTCCTTTCCTATCCTTCCCTCCATCCCTCCCTTCCCTCCCTCCCTCCTCCCCCCCTCCCTCCTCTCTCCCTCTCCCTGCTCCTCCTCCTCCTCCTCCTCCTTTCCCGTCACTTCCTCCCTTCCTCCCTCCCCTCCCTCCCTCCTTCCTCCTCCCTAGGGGGCAGCAAATCGAGCCCCATCATAATCAACCCCAACAAGCGCAGCCGTTCAGCAAACGTACCCAAAGAAGGAATCGAACAGGGCAAGGGGCTACTCAACAACCGCCCCGGGCCGTTCGGTAACCGTCAATGTTCAGGTCCGGGTGGCTTTTCCTCCCCTGACTCTTTTCCCATCCTTTTCTCCCCTCCCCTCCCTTCCCCCCTGGGCAACTCAAAATGGGGGGCGCGCCCAAGGGGGGGGGGGAAGGTGCGAGGGGGCAGGCCTTCTCCAACGGCTGCGGTCGGCGGTGGACAAACCTCCCCTTAGTAAGCCACCCTTTTCGTGAAAACGGCCCAGGACCGAAACCGACGGACCTCGACCCGCAAAACTAACGGCCGCGACGCCCTCTCGCGAACCGAAAGCGGCTCCTTCGCTGATCGACCTGTCAGGGTAGGAGGTCTATCAACCTCCGAAAAAACTCCTGCAGGCAAAAAAGCCCACAGGAGCGCCGCAGGCTGCTCAAGGGCTCCTGGGCAGCGGGGGCCCCGCCCGCCCGCCGTGCCGCGGCTGCTCGCCCGCGCTGCGCGGCCTGTCAGGGTCGGAGGTAATCGACCTGTCAGGGTAAGAGGTCTATCAACCCCCGACGCGGGGCTCTGCAGACGCGCCTCCTCGGCCTTCTCGGAAGACCGCCGGCGAGTGCTCGGAGCACTCCTTGGAGGGCCCGAGGCCACCCGAGCCTCCCGAGGGCGCCCGCGCCCCCTCGGCAATGCCCCCCCGGGCTCACCGCCGACCAGAGGTGCCGCTGCCGCTGCTCCCTGGACCTCCCCCGGAGCGCAGCCTGGTGCCCAGGACGTTGGTCCGGGCGGGTCCAGCGAGGGAGGCGAGGGCCTCCCGGGGGGGGGGGCCCAACAAATCAAGGGGCCCAGGGACACACCGATAAAAGTACACAGAACTCCCAGGATTCCCAATAGTTTGCCATATGTTCTGGATGGTCATCTTCCCCCTCACTTCCCTCATTTTCCTATATTTCCCCAGGGGATCGACGAGTATGTGTGTCTGTCTTTCTTTTTCTTTTGATGAAGGCGACAGCGAGGCAGGGATAGCCGCATCGGTACCCGTGAGTCGAGAAGACGTAAGACTCGGGTTCGGGGGACTCGGGCTGGCCTGCTGACGGGACCATCATGAGAACGACGCGACCCGATCTGGGAATTGTCGCTGGCCACCGCTGCGAACATCCCACGAAAACTGGACCGTCAAAATCCAGGAAGCGCTCGTCAAAAAGTGTCGGCCAACCCGAATTCCAGCGTGCTCAAATCTTACGTTTCCCCCTCCTCCTCCTCCACCTCCTCCTCTTCCTCCTCCTCCTCCTCCCCTCCTCCTCATCTTCCCATTCCTCCTCCTCCTCCTCCTCCTCCTGCTCCTCCTCCTCCTCCTCCTCCTCCTCCTCCTCCTCCTCCTCCCCCTCCCCCTCCCCCTCCCCTTCCTCCTCCATCGCCTCGGCCCCGGGGCCCCCGAGTCCGAGGGGAGCCCCGTTGCAAGCGGGCCGCGCCGCGCGCGCGCAGGGGAAGGGCCCCTCTTCCTCCCTCGCCCTCGTTGTCGTCCTCCTCCTGCTCCTCATCTCCTGATCTCTGATCATTATCCCTTCCCCCTCCCGCCTCCACCCTCCCTCCTCCCTCCTCCCTTCTCATCATCTTTCTCCATCCTTCTCCTTCTTCTCCCTCCTCCCTCCTCCTGCCTCCTCCGCCTCATCCACCTCCTCCTCCCTCGTCCTCCTCACGCACCTCCTCCTCTTCCTCTTCCTGCTTCTTCCTCCTCCTTCATCTTCCTCCTCCTCTTCCTCCTCCTCCTCCTGCCTCCACTGGCTACTCCTCCTCCTGGTCCTCCATCCTCCTCCTCCTCCTCCTTCTCCTCCTCTTCCTCCTCGGGCCTCCGCGAGCTCGGGGAAGCCGGGGCCCAGGGTCGCGACGACGGCGGGCACCAACTTGGAGAAGAAGCCCTGGAGCCCATACTTTGATTCGCGGCCAGAACGGGTGTTATGGGGGGCGAGGGGGGGGGACGGGAGGGGGCATAACGTAGCGCCCTCTCCCCCCAGACTGTGGTGCCGCACGCACTGCGGCAGTGCCTAGCACGCACTGAGGGGTGGAGCGTTACGTCATGGGGGGGAGGTGTGGGGGGGGGGGGGGGGGAAAGGCCAGGGGGCATAACGCGCGTTATGGCCCAGAGGTCTTTTGACAAAATAAAAAAACACTCTTGAAGAAAGTGCAAGAGGGAGGGGCGGGCAGCAGCGGAGGGGGGGGGCTCAGCGAAGCAGCTCACCGAGGGCGGCCAAGCTCGCTCGCTTCGCGCTGCGCGACGCGCGAGAACTTACCTTCGCGCCGCCGCGCTGCCCTGAGGGGGCCTCCCCCCCCAGGCTCAAGGGCCTGGGGCCCCAGCGAAAAAACCCTCGGCCTTTTGGGCTGGACGAGGCTGAGGCGGAGCCCTTTTTGAGACCTCGGGTGGCGCGAGAAAATTTGGCGGCCGCCTCCTCCCCCCCCTCCGTCCGGAACGGACAACAGGCCCTCTGGTGGTGCACGAAAAGCAAGACGTACGATCCACCATGAGGAGAGCAAACTCACGCATCACAGCGAAGCACGCCTGCATTGCAATCCTCATGAGAAGATGCTCACACATTCTTCCGCGTGCTGGGTAGCCCAAACCACAATTGATTATCCCGCTGGAGAGAAACCCCAAAACCTTACCTTGCCCGCCCAGCAACAGGGGGAAACTAATCCCATGTCGCCGCGCGCGCCGACCAGGCGCCAGCAGGAGTTTTGCCAGCGGAGCTAGGCAGGCGAACTTGAGCAGACTTGCGAATAAAAACAAAGAGCAAACTTACGAATCAAAATGGAGCACGATTGCATTGCAATCATCGTGCGAAGATGCTTACAACTCCTCCCGTGTGCAGGCTAGCTCCAAAAATGACTCTTCCGCTGGAGAAATATTAATCCCAAAACATGACCCAGCCCGTCCAACACTAGAGGGACATTCATTTTCGCCGCCGCCGCGACGAGAGATTTGAGGACCAGTGTTGTTCACCGCCGAGAGATTAAGGGGGGGGGTCCAAAACTAAATTTCGGTCAGGCATGTCCTCCTACAGGCGGAGTGTGGGCGAACAAAATTAAACATATGTAAATTAGCCTGGCGAAGGACCCAACCATATGCAGTTGTGAATGCCGCAATTGTGCTGGGTAGTGGCGGACGCATGCGGGCGGTACCACTGGGACCTTCGGTGGAGCTCCCTATGGGGCCACGAAACGCTGTACTGGGTGGGTGAGACGCGGTCAGCAAGGGCTGTGCTGCGTGGTGGCGGACGCATGCGAGCGGTGCCACTGGGACCTTCGGTGGAGCTCCCTATGGGGCCACGAAACGCTGTACTGGGTTGGTGAAACACAGGCAGGGAGCAAGGGCTGTGCAGGGTGGAGGCGGACGGATGCGGGCGGTGCCGCTGGGACCTTTGGTGGAGCTCCCTATAAGGCTACGAAGCGCTGTTCTGGGTGGGTGAAGCGCAGGGAACACGGGCTGTGCTGGGTGGTGGCGGACGCAAGCGGGCAGTGCCACTTGGACCTGTGGTGGAGCCCCCTATGGGGGCACGAACCGTGCGAGGGGTGTGCCAGAATGGGGGGTGGAACCGCATGCCAGCGCAGCCACTGGGGCCTTCGGTGGAGCTCCCTATGGAGCCACGAAGCGTGTGAGGGGTGTGCCGAAATGGGGGGGTGGAACCGCATGCGAGCGCAGCCACTGGGGCGTTCGGTGGAGCTCCCTATGGGGCCACGAAACGTGTGAGGGGTGTGCCGGAATGGGGGGTGGAACCGCATGCGAGCGCAGCCACTGCGGCGTTCGGAGGAGCTCCCTATGGGGCCACGAGACGTGTGAAGGGCGTGCCGAAACAGGGGGTGGAACCGCATGCGAGCGCAGCCACTGGGGCCTTCGGTGGAGCTCTCTATGGGGCCACGAACCGTGTGAGGGGTGTGCCGAAATGAATGCGAGCGCAGGGGGCGTGGAACCACATGTGCGAAGGCGCAGCCACCACTGGGGCCTTCGGTGGAGCTCCCTATGGGGCCACGAAACGTGTGAGGGGTGTGCCCGAATGGGGGGTGGAACCGCATGCGGGCGCAGCCACTGGGGCCTTCGGTGGAGCTCCCTATGGGGCCACGAAACGTGTGAGGGGTGTGCCAGAATGGGGGGTGGAACCGCATGCGGGCGCAGCCACTGGGGCCTTCGGTGGAGCTCCCTATGGGGCCACGAAACGTGTGAGGGGTGTGCCAGAATGGGGGGTGGAACCGCATGCGGGCGCAGCCACTGGGGCCTTCGGTGGAGCTCCCTATGGGGCCACGAAACGTGTGAGGGGTGTGCCAGAATGGGGGGTGGAACCGCATGCGGGCGCAGCCACTGGGGCCTTCGGTGGAGCTCCCTATGGGGCCACGAAACGTGTGAGGGGTGTGCCAGAATGGGGGGTGGAACCGCATGCGGGCGCAGCCACTGGGGCCTTCGGTGGAGCTCCCTATGGGGCCACGAAACGTGTGAGGGGTGTGCCAGAATGGGGGGTGGAACCGCATGCGGGCGCAGCCACTGGGGCCTTCGGTGGAGCTCCCTATGGGGCCACGAAACGTGTGAGGGGTGTGCCAGAATGGGGGGTGGAACCGCATGCGGGCGCAGCCACTGGGGCCTTCGGTGGAGCTCCCTATGGGGCCACGAAACGTGTGAGGGGTGTGCCAGAATGGGGGGTGGAACCGCATGCGGGCGCAGCCACTGGGGCCTTCGGTGGAGCTCCCTATGGGGCCACGAAACGTGTGAGGGGTGTGCCAGAATGGGGGGTGGAACCGCATGCGGGCGCAGCCACTGGGGCCTTCGGTGGAGCTCCCTATGGGGCCACGAAACGTGTGAGGGGTGTGCCAGAATGGGGGGTGGAACCGCATGCGGGCGCAGCCACTGGGGCCTTCGGTGGAGCTCCCTATGGGGCCACGAAACGTGTGAGGGGTGTGCCAGAATGGGGGGTGGAACCGCATGCGGGCGCAGCCACTGGGGCCTTCGGTGGAGCTCCCTATGGGGCCACGAAGCGTGTGACGTGTGCCAGGGGTGTGCCAGAATGGGGGGTGGAACCGCCTGCGGTGGAGCTCCCTATGGGGCCACGAAACGTGTGAGGGGTGTGCCAGAATGGGGGGTGGAACCGCATGCGGGCGCAGCCACTGGGGCCTTCGGTGGAGCTCACTATGGGGCCACGAAACGTGTGAGGGGTGTGCCAGAATGGGTGTGGGAGGGGGAGGAGGGGGGAGGAGGGAGGAGGAGGAAGGAGGAGGAGGAACGCGGGGCGACGTCTCTTCAAAACAAGGACCCAACACCACAGGATGATTGGGAAAAAACATGATAATGCAGCAAAATAGTTAAACATCGTCCCCAAGCTATTTTTTACAATGTTTCCCCAATCAGTGCTTGCACTGAAGGGGTCCTAGCAGAAGTTTAAGGATTTGGCGTGAGTTTCCCGCCGATGTTGGTAGCAAGCTGGGTTCCTGGGTTCCCTGTTCTGGGTTCCTGGTTATTGGTTCCAGGCCGATTACGGTGGGCTCCGGGTTCCCGGAATCGGTCGATCTCCTTATCGATCTCTTTGATCGATCCCATTTCAAACCATCCACTGATGTTTTTTTTTCTCTGGTGCACTTCTTTCTATGTATGACTCGACTAGAAAATCAATGTTGGGGTACATCGATTCTGTACTCGATGCCCTACTCGATCAGTACCCTCTAAGGCTACCGGAGGGGCCTCCGCGGCCGCGGCGGCGGGCGCCCGAGGGCGGGCGCGCGCGAAGTAGCGTGCGAGGACGCCTTCGGGACCCGCGGCGCCGAGCTGCAGCAGGGGGCGGAAGCGAACCGTCAACTGCGCACCGCGAGGAGCTTCGCCGCCTCGAGGGTGCCCCTTTGGCTCACGTGGAACGGAGTCCCGGCGCCGAGCGCGCACGCACAGAGGGAGGAGGAGGAGGAGGAGGAGGAGGAGGAGGAGGAGGAGAAGGAGGAGGAGGAGGAGGAGGAGGAGGAGGAGGGGCTGGAGGCGAATCGCCAACTGCGCACCGCGAGGAACTTCGCGCCCTCGAGGGTGCCCTTGGCTTAGGTCGGGCATGTCCTTCTACCGGCCGATTCTGGCCGCAAAATGAAAAATAGCTGACACATGCCCAAAATTGGACACAAAATGCTCAAATCGTTCCCGGACTATTTCCCAACCAACCTGTGGTGTTGGGTATTCGTTTTGAAGAGACGGTTCCCGCGTTCATTACTCCTCCCTCCCCCTCCTTCCTCTTTCCTGCGTTTCACCCAGCCAGTACAGCACTTCGCGGCCCATAGGGAGCTCCACGGAAGGTCCCAGTGCTACCGCCCGCATGCGTCCCCCACGCCGATTTCGCCACACACCCCTCACACGTTTCGTGGCCCCATAGGGAGCTCCACCGAAGGCCCCAGTGCCACCGCCCGCATGCGTCACCCACACCCATTTCGTCACACACCCGTCACGTTTCGTGGCCCCATGGGGAGCTCCACCGAAGGCCCCAAACCACCGACCACACGCGTCACCCTTTCCCATTCCGGCACGCCCCTCACGCGTTTCGTGGTCCCAAAGGGAGCTCCACCGAAGGCCCCAGTGCCACCGCCCGCATGCGTTCCCCACACTCATTTCGGCACACCCCTCACACGTTTCGTGGCCCCATAGGGGGCTCCACCGAAGGCCCCAGTACCACCGCCCGCATGCGCTCCCCACACCCACTTCGGCAAACCCTCACACGTTTCGTGGCCCCATAGGGCGCACCACCGAAGGACCCGGTGCCACCGCCCGCATGCGTCGCCAACACCTATGTCGGCACACCCCTCACACGCATCGTGGCCCCATAGGGAGCACCACCGAAGGCCCCAGTGCCACCGTCCGCATGCGTCACCCACACCCATTTCGTCACAGACCCCTCACATGGTTCGTGGC